ACGTGGATTAGAGATAATAAGACCATGTTTTAAAGTTTGAATTGATTAATTAATTCCAACATTAGATTCATTAACAATTTATGTTGAAGATTTAAATGAAAAAACACTTTTTGCTGCTCGTCATATTTATAATTTAAAATTAGGTTCAAGTCTTCGTTCAATCGATCCTAAAATATTTGTTTTATTATCTCGACAATTACATCATTTAGATTTATCTGATATCAGTATATCACAAATGAAATCAGATTCTCGTTGTCATCTTAATAAATATCGTTATTCGTGATTTAAATGTTATTTTTCCTCAATTAGAGAAAATTTAACTGAATGCGATTGTCCTCGACTTTTTATTAATCATATTCAATTGAATTCAAATATCGAAAAAATTTTTACTCATAGTGAAACAACTGAGGATAAGATTATTTTCACTAAATATTTACATCAGTTGATCTATTTATCACATCCAAGTGATAATCAAATGATAAATTTTCTTATTAATCAAACACATGAGGATGAAAGAACCGAAACTTTTGAACCATGGGAAGATGATATCGATGAACAAACAACAGACTTATTAAAGTCTAACAAAAATCAATCTTTTTCTTGGTTTTCATTTTTCATCGGAATCGGTTTTGTTCTCCGTTTAATAATCTTTAGTCTAATTTTATTTTTAATTATACAATGTCGAAAAGAAAATCGTTTTAGACCTCTATCAGTCTACGTCTAGATTAGGAAGATTATAATTCTTATAACAAAAACTATCATGAACATTGTAATCATTCTTTTTTCATTTGCTATTCTCATCGAAAGTGAAAATAATTATAGATAGAATTGGTACTAGATGCTTTTTGTCAAATTTATCGGAATACTAAAATATTTCTATTTTTATGAAAGATTTTTTCGCTCATAGAGGAAAAAAGAAGTAATGACTTTGAACAGTATGTTATATGAAAATGTTTTCGGCGAGTGAATTAAAAAGAAGAAAACTATACCAGGTTGTAGAACTTGAAAAGCTCTATCAGATGGAAAGAACCAAAGTTGATCATCAAGACATTTTTATTCGACCTAAGAATGTTACTGTTTTGGAAAGCAGTTATAGGAAATGATATCTATATCATGCACGGTTCATGAAGGAGTTTTTGTGCAGACTTTTTCACTCTTTCAAATGAGGCTATTTGATGCCAGTGAATAACTACTTTTGAGTAAACAATTATCAGAATAGTGAGTAGAACATATGTGGAATAGGTAGCCTAATAATGATTACCGAAAGTCATTAAATTCTTTTCAAAGTCGTTCAATTTATTAGCAAAAGATTCGTCCTAAAATTCTGCATCGAGTGATATACGTTTTTTGAGAATCTAACGATGGGCCAATTTCCGTTCTAATGCGTCCTCATCCTTTTTTGTCTACATTCACCCCACTCTACTCTATTCTTTACATAATGTTTTGTATAATCAGAGTATTATAGAAAAGGATAAAAGAGTGTGGGTGTAGATATGCGGTTTGGGTTGCACTACACTCTTCCCCTATCCAATTCATTTACACCCACATCCGCACCCAAGATCAGTCCTAAAAACTGGTCGCTGATTACTGAACATCCATAATCTATACAGCCAATCTAGTTC